AGAATGTTCCAGCCAACCTGGCCCTCAGAGCAAGACTGGTGATGAGCAGATTCATCATGCAATTCACACACAAAATAAATGAATAGGCATGATCACACTTTGCAACACATTTTGTCCCAACTGCAAACTTCTCATACCAACCTCCAGGAGTTAGTGAGTGTCGTCTACTCCATCGACCAGAAGCTTGCTGCTCTCCTACCCACTGCTAAGGTCCCTTCTCTTCCTCGTCAAATTGAACCCACCCCTGTGGTCAACTTAACTCACTTCGAGAACTAGATATTAGCCCACAGGAATTTTTTGAAGGTAACCCCAGCCATTGTGGAGGTTTTTACAATGTAATCTTGCTTTTGACCATGCACCACTAAATCCTATGCTTCTGATTTTGCCCGCATTACTTATATAATAACTTCCCTGAAACAAGAAGCAGCTCTTCGCTGGGCACATGCTTACCTTTGGTCCCATCCAATAAAATCCTTAACTTTTCAAGCTTTCTGAAAGGATTCTCTACATGTTTTTGACCATTCCCTGCAATAGGAGTGAGCGGCCAAAAAGCTGTTCTCCTTATGCAAAGGTAAACAATCCGTATCTGAATTTTCCATCCACTTCCAGATAATCGCTGAAGAGTCCAAATGGGAAGAAAAGGTTCTTAAAGGAGTGTTTATCCATGCATTAAATGACCAAGTAAAAGATCAATTACCAGAGAGGTTCCTTCTGGATGAACTGATTAATCTAGCCATTCATATTGACAACCACCCAAGAGAACGCAACATGGAAAGAAACTGCAAGACTCGTGAGTACTCCACTTCCAGATCTACAACTCTTCCGCTGCCTATAACACCCAATGAACCTGAACTAATGCTGATAGAAAGGACACAATTAACACCCAAAGAGAGACGACACCGAATCACCACTAGAGAATGCATCTACTGCGGTAAGAGGGGTTGTTTTGTCGCCTGCCCGCTTAAAAGGAACACCCCACCATTAAGCCAGGAGACATTGGTAAGATGTTCTAATAATTTTCCTGAAAGAAATTTGTGTTTACTGGCTATTATCTGTTTCGAAAAAAAAAAAAATCTGTATGCCTTTTTACAAAGCATAACTGTCTGTTGGTGTCACTGTTGTCCATTGTTGTCATCATTATTTGTTGAAATCAGGTCTCTATTGTAAATGAGTCCTCGAGGCTCAATGGGATTTACCCATCTAAAGAAAGGTTGAATGAAAAAATGATCAAATTAATTCCCCCATTATGGCTCTGGTGGATTCAGGTGCCAAACAAAATTTAATAAGTTTAAGCTGGTAGAACAAATCCAGATTCCTGTCAAAGAACTAACCAATTCCATCAGTGTTGATGCACTCACAGGCCAGACCATCTCCTCCATCTCTCTCAGGACCTTGGGAGTACACTTTGTCATCTCCAGAAATCACCATGAAGAAGGTGATTTTTTTTTTTGTTTCCGATTCCCCTAATCCACAACTCACCTTGGGTCTCCCATGGTTAAAATCACACAACCCAGTAATAAATTGGAGCCAAAACAGAGTCAAGAGCTGGCGTAAAACATGTTCTGAATTATGTTTACAGTCAGCAATAACACCTGCTTCATTTTCTCTTCAAACTCATGAATAGATTGATCTGTCGAAAATTCCCTCTGTGTACCATGATTTGGCCCCTGTATCCACAGCAAGTAATAGGCTATTTTCCTTAACTCCCCACTCAGAACATATGATTGTGCCATAGATCTCCTTATGGATGCCCCATTACCTGCTAGTAGATTGTATAATCTACTGAGCCCCAAGAAGGAGACTATGAAGAACTATATAGAATTATATATAGAACTATATAGAATCATTCAAACTTCTACTTCTCCAGGGGTCACAGAATAATTTTTTGTCGCAAAGAAGGACAAGACCCTGAGACCATGCATCAATTTTAGGGGATTAAATGAAATTACAGTTTAAAACAAGTGTATTTTACCTTTGATTGGCTATCTATGAACAACTTCAGGAGGCAACAGTGTTCATCAAATTGAATCTTCGCAACTCATACCATTTAGTGAGACTTTGGGAGGGGGACAATGAAAGACGGCATTTAAGACAGAGGTCTTAAATGCCGTCTTCCACTTGTTCTCCTCAGGATGGTATTACTATATATCCAAAATGCCCCAAAGGGTTGGGGCATTTTGAATATTTAGTAATGCCTTTGGACTAACCAACACCCCTGCCATCTTCCAAGCTCTAGTCAACAACGTTCTGAGAGACTTCTTGAATATTTTTTTGTTCTTTTACTTCAACAACATACTTATTTATTCTAAGGACTTGTACCAACATACTAAACATGTCAATGCTGTTCTTCAAAAGCTTCTTGAAAACCTGCCTTATGTCAAGAACAAAAAGTGTGAGTTTCACATGTCTTCCATAACCTTCCTGGGATAAATTTTTGAGAGGACAGGTGCGTAAGGATCCAGAAAAGACCAAGCCTGTGACTGAGTGGCCAACTCCCCAGGACTGGAAACAACTACAACATTTCTTGGGATTTGCTCATTTCTATCGCCGCTTCATTAGGAACTACAGCCAAGTCGCCACTTCTCTCACCCAACTAACATTCACTCTTCCAAAATTCATCTGGATTCCTGAAGCAGAAGCTGCCTTCAGTGAATTAAAACAACTATCCTCTTCTGCTCCCATCCCATCACATCCCAACTTTCATATACAATTCATGATGAAAGTGGATGCCTCTGACACAGGAGTGGGAGCAGTTCTTTCACAAAAATTTCCTGACGATGGAAAGTTACATACCTGTGCCTTCTTCTCTCAACACCTATCACTTGCTGAGAGAAATTATGATGTAGGAAACAGAGAGCTCTTTGCCATAAAACTTACTCTGGAGTGGGGACATTGGCTGGAGGGAGCTGAATTACCTTTTGTGATATAGACAGATGACAAGAACCTAGTCTATATACAAAAAGCTAAAAGATTCAATGCGCATCAAGCTCAATGGTCTTTTTTTCCCCCACTAGTTTCAATTTTACTATTACCTACATCCCTAGTTCTCAAATGAAAAGCCTAATGCTCTTTCTTGCCAGTTTTCAACAACAGAAAACCTAGACAATCCAGAATGGATTCTACCCACATCATGTATGGTGGGAGTCATGACCTGGATTGTCGAGAAGGACATCAAAGAGGCTCAAAACAGGGAACCAGATTCTGGCACCAGGTCCCCTGGAACATTTTTTGTTCTGACGTCCATGACAAGTAACGTTCTGGATTAGCTTCACAATGACAATTTCACCTGCTATCCAGGTATGCAACGCATGTTACTTCTTACTCAGAGACATTTTTGGTAGCTTAACCTATACAATGATGTAAAGGACTTTGTTGCAGCCTGTTTTACATGTGCTAGGAATAAGAACAAAAATCAGCCACCTGCAGGACTACTACTTCCATTAACCTCTCCTGGTCATACATCGCCATTGACTTCATTACAGGATTACCCAATCCAAATATAAATCTGTCATCTGCACCACTATTGATCATTTTCTAAGGCTGCTCACTTCATTACCTGACCAAGCTCTCGTTGGCACTCAAACCTTCTCAACTGCTTGTTAAACATGTTTATCGCCTTCATGGCATACCTCAGGACATAGTCTCTGACAGGGGACCCCCAATTCATCTTACAAGTATGAAAGGCTTTCTACCAGGCACTTGAGGTCACTTTGGGTCTTACCTCTTGATATCATCCACAATCAAATGGTCAGACTGAACAATGCAACCAATTACTCAAAGCAGCTTTAAGGTGCATAATAAACAATAATCCTTCCACATGGTGCCAACATTTACGCTGGGTAGAATTTGTCCATAACTCCCTTGCCTCTTCAGCAATGAGTCTCTCGCCTTTCAAAGCCCCTCTGGGGTATTCTCCACTGTTTTTTTCTAGTCAGGTAACTTTTATGTCCCCTCTGTCTAGCATCACCTTTGCCGTAGCTGTAGAATATAGCAACAGACGAAAGAGGCCTTGCTCCAGACTGCAGAGCAAAACAAATGATTTACAGACAGACACCAACCTACGGCTCCTACATACCAACCTGGTCAAAAAGTATGGATATCAACTAAAGACATAAAATTGAAAGACACGCCTAGAAAACTTGCTCCCAGTTTCATCTGTCCTTTTCCCATCGTCAAGATCATTAATCCACCAGCTGTTCATTTAAAAATCCCTTCTTATATGAGAATACATTCCACTTTTCAATCTCTCAGATTAAACCTGTTTCCACTAGCCCATTAAACCCTCCTACCCCCACCCCCATCCTCCAACCCACAGTTGATCAATGACAACCCCGCATTTACGGTTCAACGCCTCCTAGACGTATGTTGTAGAGATCCAGATTTCCAATATCTGGTAGATTGGGAAGGCTATGGCCTAAAGGAACATTCTTGAGCTCCCAGGCCCTTCAATCTTGATTCTGACCTTATATCCTATCAAGACCACCCTGAGAACATTTTCACACAAGTCCTAAAAGTAGATAAAGAGAACCGAGTTAAACAAATGAGACCAAAATATTATACTTAGTCTTACAAGGTTAAGGCAAGTCATCTAGATGGATTCTTCTTCGTTGAAATATTTTGTCTTTTATCCAAAAGACTTCTTCAGTCATTGGACTGAAGAAGTTGGTTTGTCAACATCACCAGTGATGGTTGTTGCTAACTCGGGCCTTGACCGATACGGTATGGTGTCACTTACATGAACTTGCATTTTGGCAAAAGTGTTTTACTTTGAATGCCCTTCTTGACACATCCCTCACCATTTACCCGGGCTTGGGACAGGCACAAGAGACACACTGGCCTGTGCTCCCTAGTGGCTGGTTTAAAGTGGTGCTTTTCTCCAGCACCCCTGAAAAGACCTAAATAGAATGTTTAATATTATGACTAAATGTTGAGACTTTTATTTTAATGACACCAAAAGCACAGGTGCAGTAAGTGTCAGAAATGCAAAAGTGTAAACTTACTCATTAAAGATTAGATCAGGAGCAAAGTAGAGCATTTGTCCGTTAGTGTGTTTGTAGGAGCGCCAGCTGAGGCAGAAGGAGGACAAACACATCCACGAATATTGGATCAGGGTGATCTGGTCCTCAATGGGCAGGACACGGAAACCTAACACACAAAGTACACACATATAACACAGGAATAAACTTGATCAGAGGGCAACACTGTTACAATGTCACAGATAATATTCACGAAGCAATAAAGAATTTTGGCTTTAAATATGAAACAAAGTAGCTCATTGTACATGTTTTTACCTAAATCAAAGCATTATGTGTAATTTTATCTTTGCTTAAGAGAGTTTATTTTTTACCATTTTTTAAGACAACATAGTAAGCATTGACAAACATTCACCCATTAAAAAACAGAAAATCCCCACTAGGTCTGCAATTATTGGCATGTTGTATGTGAAGCTCCCAAAATGGTCAGATATGAAACTTGCCAAACATTCAGTCAAATGTTGGCAGGAACCAAACTCCTCCTAATGCATAAATATGGGTCTTCTGAGGATCCAAGTAACTTATCAAGACTCTGGGACTATTTCTGTCAGCATGCATGTCAATCTGCCAAAAATTGCAATTTTTTTTCATTCAACTTTTATTTATACAGGTTAGTCTCACTGAGACACAAGGACTCATTTTCAATAGAGACCTGTTTTAGACAAACCCCAAATAAGGTACACACAACAATAAACAGCCATAAAATACATATGAAATAAAAAGTAAATAAAAGTAGTGATATAAAACTAAATTTAGTTAAAGGTATGTTGAATTTGTTTTGCCTCACAAGAGCCTGTTGTGAAAAAAATTTAATGGGGAATTGTGACTATTTTCTTAAGAATTTAAAGTAATTAAACATCAGAGATGAATTGTATCAAGATAAATTTGCATTTTATGAGACTTTGTTGAAATTTGTTTAAGTTGAAACTGAATTGTTAAAGTTACAACAACTAGAGTAGAAACAAAAAGTAGCAAAGCTGGAGCTAAAAGTTAAAATTAGCTAAACAACTGAGAAAAGAAAAAAGTAAAATAAATAAATAAAAAAAGTAGCCACTAGTAAGCACAAACCAGTGTGTCTCTTATGCCAGTTCCAAGCCCAAATAGAAGGTATGGGTTGTGTCAGGAAGGGCATCAGACAGAAAACACCTTTGCCAAAACTAATTTGTAAGTTCATCTAAGTGACACCATACCAGATCGGATGAGGCACAGGCTAACAACCCACACGGGTTGATTGTCACTGGTGCTGTTAACAAACAGGGTGCCGGCGGAAATTGTGCTACTATTAGTTGAAGACCACGAGGAGGGAAACGTGTCAGAGACAGATCAAGAAGCAGAAAGTCAAGAAAGTCAATAATGTAGAACTAAGGGTGGCAACTGTGGGAGACAATGACAGGTGAAGGTAGAGAGCTGGCTGGCGTGATTCAGAGAAGGATGGTAAAAGTTTAATGTGTCCAAGAGACCAAGTGGAAGGGCAGGAAGGCTTGCAGCATTGGAGCAAGGTTTAAACTGTTTTATCATGATGTGGATAGAAAAAGAAATGGAGTAGGGGTGGTCCTGAAGGAGGAGCTAGCAAAGAATGTACGTATATCCGGAGTTCAAATGGTCTTTGACGTACAAAGTAGGATTCTAATAACTCACTGTTTATGTGTTCCTGAAGCTTGACATCTTTTGGCAAGTGCATCAATATCCAACATCATATCTTGAATAGCAGCTAATTTCAGAATGTAATTTAAGTGTTTGTGTGTGTGAGCAAAGCTTTGTTTTATTGATGCTCATCACAGAGAACACTTGTTTACAAAGGTAAGTACTCCCAAACATGCACAAAGGTTTTGCAGCCTGTGCTATTAATTTGGAGTAGAATGGCAAGAGATACTGATAAAATGTGCCCAAGCCCACTAAGGCAAATTTGTCCTTTAATTGATTTGCATTACACTGCAAATCAATTATTTCAAGTTGGATGTTGACAAGCATATCAGAAGCCTGGACTATGAGTGGTAAACGAATAACTCCAGATTCAGTCTACAGTTCACCAAAGACCTGAAACCGTCTTTTAAACTTCTTCAGCAGTCCCGTAATCTTGCCTTTGTACTGTTTCATGTCAGTGTTCACTCCGGTCACAGGCATCTCTCTAAGACAGGGAAAATGAGCTAGTTTACAGTTTGCCAGCTTTGTCTCCCACTGTCAGCTTTAACTTGAACGCTCATATACTGTCATAATATTGTGTTGCAATTTTTTTGCGACCCTGCAACATTTTTTCAGATTATTCAAGTGCTTTGTGATATCATCATAAATGCAAGGCCCTGCAGCTATTCTGGAGATTGAAATTCCATCACTAGTTTTACTTTTTTCTCCATGAATTGTTCAATTTCCTCCCATAGATCACGGAAACACTTCAACACAGCTCCTCAGCTGAACGACTTACTTGAATGTGGTATGGCAGGCTATGGGTAATGTTTTTGTCACTAAGAAAACAGTCAAACTGACAATGATTTCAACCTAGCTGAGATTAACAGTTGGGACAACCATCTCCATGATGTGATCCATGTGTGACAACTTGCAACACAAGCTTCCTGGTGCAAATAGAGTAAAGAGTCCAAAAAGCATTTCAATTTGCAGCTTTTACTTTCTTTCAGAGTTTTGTAACACCTGCCTTTTTTCTGATCATTGAAGGCACACTAGTCCCCTTAGACTCTGTCCAGCACTCCAACAAGAGAGCAGAAAACATCAGCTGAACCAACTCCAGAAACTCCCCAGTTATGGTCAAGATCTCAACTCCAAAAATAATTATGGACAGTTGAGCAATATCTGTGATGTCAAGGCCTCAGTTCAGTTCCACAAACTCAAAAAATGCAGCAAATAATTTACGGTAACTTTGTATTTCAACTGACAGTCCAAATCTGAGAGATTTGAAATCTTATCAGCAACTATTTGCAGCAACTATGTTTCTTGGCAGAATGTTTGCTAAAACGTGTCACTTCTCAGGGCATACAATTACTGCAGCCGTTGTCATACAGGTTTTCCTGAACTCACCTTCACTGTACAGCTGGAATACTAATGCTAATTTGTTAGTAATTGGATAGCTAGCTTTCACCGCTGCATCACTGACCTCTCGGCTTGGTGAAACCAGATGTTTCCTCAGACTGACCAGCAGTTTGTTTGTTTACTCGTCTCAATTTTCCTAGCATCAATCCATCCGTCCATTATCTTTTAGGCGCTTCTTCCTTTTCGGGTCATGGGGATCACTGGTGCCCATATCCAGCAGTCACTATGCGAGAGGCGGGGTACACCCTGGACATGTCATCCCCGGCCAGGATTTGATTGGGTAAACTTCTTGCTAAGAGGCAGCAGTTCTACAAACTGTGCCCCTGATCCACCCAATTTTCCTAGCAATCACTTATTTTTGGCCATGCTAAATGGCATAAATCCTTATATGGCAAGTTGGCTTTCTTGGACTGTGAGGTCTCAGTCTCTGATGGAGGACATTTGCAAATGGATGTCTACCACAAACCCACATACACAGACCAGTGCTTGCAGTTTGATTCCCATCTCCCACTGGAACCTAAGTTAGGAGTCATCAGGACTCTGTACCACAGACTTGACAGTGTCCCCACTAACTCAGGAGCCAAGCAGAAGGAGAAATCCCACACAATACAGGCTCTAGAGCAATGTGGATATCCTAACTGGGCCTTCCTGAAAGCAGAGGAGGAACCCAAGCAGGACTCCAGCCAGTCTTCAGGTGAAAGAGGAACCCTAACCAGTGGTCATTTCATATGTTGCAGGAGTTTCAGAAAACCGGAGACATTTAATTTCTAAACAAAACGTCCCAGTGGCTTTTAAACCACAAAATACATTACGGCAAAGACTGGTTCATCCCAAAGATCCAGTTCTCCAGCACAAACAGAGTAATATTGTATATGCTGTTCAGTGCCAGGAGGGCTGTGATCAGTCTTACATCGAGGAAATTAAATAGTCACTGGCCAAAAGGATGGCCCAGCACAGAAGAGCAACATCATCAGTTCCAGGACTCTGCGGTCTACACTCATCTGCAGATCAGCAGACACTCTTTCAGGGATGAAGATGTTCACATCCTTGATAGTGAGGAATGCTGGTTTGAGACAGGAGTAAAGAAATCCATCTTTGTGAAAAGATCCTGTTCATCGTGAAACAGGGGTAGAGGCCTCCGTGTTCAAGTGTCCCCCTCTTACAATTTGTACGATGCTGTTATTGCATCACTCAACCCTCTGTGAATAGCAAATGGCCATCAGGGCACTAACAACCAATTGTTAGGGCATTAACAATCAATTGTTACACTGATGGTTCTCCTTTAACATGTGAACAGCTATTTCTGGATGACACCAGCAAACTGATTGATCCACTGTGAGAAGGTGCTGTTTATAAGACCGAGTTTGTTGCGGCTCCTCAGACTGAAGACGTTTTTTGGATAAAAGACAAAAAGTTTCAACAAAGAAGAATCCATCCAGAGGATCCAACTCAGCCTTGTTAAGAAGTCATTCTACACGCAACATTCCAATGCTGACTGGCCAGTTCTCCACTGGAACAACTTTACTGTCCCCAATCTCCCTCAGACTGCAGGTTTATTTGCAGTTCCTAGAGTTTCCAAAAACAGAATGAGAGGCAGAGATTTCAGTTATCAGGCTCCTCTCTTGTGGAACCAACTTCCAATCTCTGTCCATGAGGCTGACACATTATCCAGTTTTAAAACTAGGCTTAAGACTTTCCTTTTCACTAAATTCTATAGTTAGGGTCAGCGTGAGTTTCCTGAGCTGTCCCTTAGTTATGCTGATATAGGCTTAAGGCTCCAGTATACTGCCACATATGTCCGTTCACGCAGGGTTCAGACATGATACTCCAGCCTGAGCAGCTGCAGAGCAGCTTCACAGACAAGGGGCGTTTACCTTCGGGACAAATTGAGGTCGCCGATTGGTCATTTGCTGACACGCCTACTGGATTGATTGACAGGCCGAAAAAAAGAAAAAAGCGAGCGCTGGCAGCCTCAGCCGCAGCAGTGTTCTGTGTTTATATGTTGTTAATAAAAAGATCTAAAAAATAAATAAAAACAGAGAGCGCTGGCTCTACAGCCCACACATCAGACCACCAGGAAATCTCCAGACCCTCCCGCAGCCACGCTGGACCCGAGTTTAATTTGCTTGTGACAAATTCCTCCATTTCTCACCATTTCAGTTATGGCATCAACGGAGGAGGAAGAGATCACTTGCCTCTTGGCAAAAAAAACAAAAGAAAAGGCCAGATCAGAGATGAAGAAGGGGAATTTAATACATTGGTGTCGCATACAAAACAGTCCGTCGCTGGGCAGTTTATTGTGCGACACCGCGTACGCGTATGCGGTCGTAAAACTTGAGCTTTGCACGGACATGCCCTGGGGGGTATGTGCGTACCTCTGCGTATGGATGTACGCGGCAGTATACTGGGGGCTTTAGACTGCTGGAGGACAAACTGACCACATTTTTTCACTCTGCTACTGTCTTTACTTACTCTGCTCAACCTGTTTGGTATTTGTAATTATTTTTTTTATCCTTGACGTGTTTTTGTTTTTCAGGTACACCTGGACCTATCTGGACCTACCATTCTGTGTTCGCTTGCCTCTCCTTTCTGACATCTCAAACCCAGCCAGTCAAAGCAGATGGCCACTTGTCCTGAGCCTGGTTCTGCTGGAGGTTTCTTCCTTTTAAAAGGGAGTTTTTCCTTTCCACTGTTGCCACTGTGCTTGCTCAGGATGGGAGACTGCAATGAAGCCAAGATTCAAGTCTGCTGGCCTCCTTAGATAGAGAACTTACTAATTGGCTTTTCATGTATGTGAATGTTTCTGTAAAGTGCCCTGAGACAACTTTGTTGTGATTTGGCGCTATATAAATAAACTGAATTGAATTGAATTGAATTTAACTGATCTGGTGCAAACTAAAATCAGTATTCACACAGCTATAGAAGGTACATGGTAATAATGTGGCTCCTAATTTGTTAGGCAACAAAAGTATAAGACAGGATACATTATTTTCACTCTGCCCAATGTGTTAGCCCTGCCACAGCTGTGAACGCAGGCTGTAGCATATCTGAAAGTCAAAGGTACTCTTTTTGACCCCTCTGTCTGGCTTCTATTTATATGGCCGGATACAGGAAGCAGACACTGGAGATATCAAATATTTGCAATACAGCAAATTAAAGGGGCTCAGAAAGCTACCTGTGAGGCACCTTTTTGTATGCACACACTTACTTTAATGTTAGGAAAACTTGTTTTCCCTTTCAAACATTATTTTTTTTCTTGTGATGTATTTTACATAAAAAATAATTAAATAGATTTTCTGTCAAACGCAAAATCTGACTAGATAATGTAACTGAGTTCTGCTTGAAAGTCCTAATCTTCTAGTTTATGGAAAAACAGGATTCAATTTTAATCTTGCTGGAGCTTTAACAAATCATTTCCTGACCTAATATTTAAAATTAAATCTGTGTACCATGACAAAACTAGCTGTCTCGCCTTTTTAATATGAATCAAACATGAAAATGTTATTTTTTCTTTATTAAACCCCAAGCAAATAGGAAAAACATCATGGATAATTTGGATTACATTTTTTTCTTTTAGTTCTTTGATTCTTGCACAAATTATCATATTCATTATCACAAGTTAATAGCAAATTCAATATGTGGCACTGCATGAGCAATGCATAAATCAGGCAAGATCTATGACAGAAATGTTAAAATCAAAAACATTTAATTGCATTAAAACGTTGATATTTTTTCCTCCTTAAACCATTCTGCTTATTGACTTTTCACTGTTTCACACATGATACAACATGAAATACTGTATTTTTATCAGCTAAAAATACCAATGAAATTGTATATTAATGTCTTTGATCCTCAAAAATATATCTAGGGGAGCTTTTGATATTTTATCTCCAGTTGCACTATTTAAATGAATGCATATTTGTGGTCATTACCTGGAAGTACTTTGGCCCACTTCACCATGCGCACCATCTGCTTTCCGGCCAGGCGGTTGAGACTGGACAGCAGGTGGTCAGTTGTGTCGGGTTGTGCATTGTCGTAGCCGGAGTACACCTCTTCAGGCTCAATCAGCTCCAACACGCTGCTGATGGAGGGGGGCAGAAAGGGTGTGACACCCCCTGGCCCGTGGGACATCAAAGTGTTGGTGGCGCTGGCGTTAAGCTCTTTTTCTGAGGACAGATAACCACCTCCAATGCCACTTGAGACTATCTGGCCATCTTTAGAGCTCTGCAGGTCCTCAGTAACTCCCTTCAGCTTCAACTTTTTAGACTTTCGCGCTGTGGGGAAACACAACAGTGTAATAACTCGGTTATACTGTAATAATTGAATATGATAATGATTGTCCACTGTTTTAAATGGCAGGCAATAATGTAATTGTCTATGTCTGATTACATGAAATTAACACATTTCTTTGATGGATAAATGATAAGTGCAAACATTCTGATCAATTGCTGTTTAATGTTTAATAGAAAAATAGGTGTAAATCAAACTAGCATTCTGTATTTATAAAAATGAAATTCCCTGACACTTTGCATGGCGAACCTTTAAATACAGAACTGTTGACACTAACAGGGATGGCTTTTAGCTACTACCACACCAGATATCAGGTCAGTATTTGGTGGGGCCGAGGTTTAGGGTATTTTCACACCTGATAGTCTGGTAGACTCGGTTCGTTTGGGACCAAAATTCTGAACATTTGTTCACATTTTCATCTGGTGCAGTTCACATTCACACTGCACTGAGACAGTCGAGCCCAAGAGTTCACTTCAACTGAACCGAGACCCAGTTTTTTTTAGGTGGACCAAAGTTCGCTTTTTTGGTCCATATCAGAGTTTGATTGCACATTCACACCTCCCCAAACGAACTGGACTTTCTAAGCAAATGGACTAGAATTCAATTAAAGCAAACTAAACACGGCTGGTGTGAATGCACCCTTAGCCTCATTTTGTTGTTTGTTAAGGTTATTCAGCTGTAGGAGTCATTTTGAATTAGGCTGACTCCAAAAGTTTATCAGTTATAGATTACTTCCAATGATCATATCCTGATACATGCTCAATAATCCAGATAGAAAAATCCAAAAAAGTTCAATCTGGTCCTCTGGACATTCAAAAAACAAGAAAACAAAAAAGACAAAAAATAAAACGAAGCAAAAAAATATGTAGAAACGTTTCGTCTCTCATCCGAGAGACCTCCTCAGTCTGAGGTGCTGTATTCAGCTCAGTCTCTTAAATAGCACCTTCTCAGAGTGGATCAACCAGTTTGCTGCTGACAACCAAAACCAGCTGCTCACATGGTCAAGAAGGACCATCAGCCTAACAATGGATCATTAGCACACTGATGGCTGTTTACTATTCAAAGGGGGTTGAGTGATACTAACAATCACAGCATTGTAAGAGGGGGACAATTGATCCCGGAGGCCTCCACCCCTGTTTATTGATGGACGATTTCTTTTCACAAAGATGGCCTCCTTTACTCCTCTCTCAAACCATCGTTCCTCTCTGTCTAGGATGTGAACATCTTCATCCCTGAAAGAGTGACCGCTGGCCTGGAGATGAGTGTAGACCGCAGAATCCTGGCTTGATGATGTTGATCTTCTGTGCTGGGCCATCCTTTTGGCCAGTGGCTGTTTAGTTTCCCTGATGTAAGACTGATCACAGCCCTCCTGATACTGAACAGCATACACAATATTACTCTGTTTGTGCCGGGGGCTGGATCTTTGGGATGAACCAGTCTTTGCCATAATGTATTTTGTGGTTTAAAAGCCACTGGAACGTTATGTTTAGAAAATAAATGTCTCAGTTTCTCTGATACCCCCTCAACATATGGAATGACCACTGGTATGGGTCTGGGTTCCTCCTTTTCACCTGATGGCTGGAGTCCTGTTTGGGTTTCTTATCTGCTTTCAGGAAGGCCCAGTTAGGATATCCACATTGCTCTGCCTGTCTTGTGTAGGATTTCTTCTTTTGCCTGGCTCCTGAGTTAGTGGGGACGCTGTCTGCTCTGTCATACAGAGTCCTGATGACTCCTAACTTGTGCTCCAAAGGGTGATGGGAGTCAAACTGCAAATACTGGGCTGTGTGGGTGGGTTTGCGGTACACCTCGGTTTGCAAAAATCCTCTATCAGAGATTGAGACCTCACAGTCCAAGAAAGCCAAACTGCCATTTTTTACATCTTCTCGAGTGAACTTGATGTATTTATCCACAGAGTTGATGTGGTCAGTAAAATGTTGGACTTCCTGAGATTTAATTTTAACCCAGGTGTCGTCAACATACCTGAACCAATGGCTTGGTGGTGTCCCTGAAAAGGACGTCAAGGCTCTCTTTTCTACCTCCTCCATGTACAGGTTGGAAACAATAGGAGAAACTGGAGACCCCATAGCACACCCATGTTTCTGCCTATAATATTGCTCCCCATATGTGAAGTAGGTTGACTGCAGGCACAGTTTCAAGAGTTGACACAGTTGTTCTGTGGAAAGCATGGTCCTGCTGCTCAGAGTGGTGTCTGATTTTAATCTTAAACTGACCACCTCTACTGCACCATCAACAGGAATGCACGTAAAGAGTGATGTGACATCAAAAGAGACCATTGTTTCATCAGTCTCCATGATGACATCCCTCACCTTATCTACAAAGTCCATGGTGTTCTGTATGTGGTGTTCTGAGCTGCCAACTAAAGGGATGAGTACAGACGCCAGATATTTGGAAACATTGTAAGTGACAGAGTTAATCATGCTAACGATTGGTCTTAAAGGTACACCTTGTTTGTGGATTTTAGGTAAACCATACAGACTAGGTGTGGCCTCCCCTGGGTACAGTCTGTGGTACAGAATACAGTCAATAGCCTTGTCCTGCTCCAAATTTTTCAGGCAATCTATTAACTTCTTCTTGTAACCACTTCCATTGTTAGGCTGATGGTCCTTCTTGACTATGTGAGCAGCTGGTTTTGGTTGTCAGCAGCAAACTGGTTGATCCACTCTGAGAAGGTGCTATTTAAGAGACTGAGCTGAATACAGCACCTCAGACTGAGGAAGTCTCTCGGATGAGAGACGAAACGTTTCTACATTTGTTTTGCTTTGTTTTGTTTTTTGTCTTTTTTGTTTTCTTGTTTTTTGAATGTCCAGAGGACCAGATTGAACTTTTTTGGATTCCAATGATCATGTTCTGAACGTTTCATTAAAACCTGTCCAGCGGGTTTAGAGTTATTTTCTTAAAAACAGACAAGGTTAACTCTAAACATGCAATTCTAAAATCTGTTCCAGGGCTATTCAACTTGTGACCCGGGGGCCAAATGAGGCCCATGAGTGAGCTCAGTTCAGCCCACCAGTGGGTTAATTTTTAAATAAAACTAGATTTTAAACCATAAAACAAACTTATTTAATGACAATAACTGCTGGATGTCCGGCCCCTGAGCTAGTTGCTTTTAGTAACTGTGGCTCCTGAGCAATTTAGTTGCATTGCTCTGACTTACCAGCTACTAGGACACCAAATTTTAGCTTAATACTTGAAAAACTGATCGAGGTATACCATTTTTATGTCTTCTACTATTGATTTGATATGGCAGCAATTCAGAATCAGGCTGACTACAAAATGTAATCAGCCATCAATGTACATTCAAAAATATGTTGTTAAAATCTAGTCTGTAATTCACAGGACATTTTGCTAACAGAGACAAATGAACTCAATGACAGGCCTTTACATGATTGCTCATTGCCACTTCAGTGTAAATGCAAACACGTTTGACTAAAAAAAAAATTATCTTTGACCTTGAGTGGAAATTCCTGGGGATTGGAAAATCAAAGATGGACGTCCCATTAAATCATTGGACAAATAGTTTTAAGCAATAAAATAAAGATAAAATTCATCCATCCATCCATTTTCTTTACCCGCTTATTCCATTTTGGGTCACGGGGGTCGTTGGTGCCCATGTCCAGCAATCACTGTGCGAGGGGCGGGGTACACCCTGGACGGGTTGCAAGTCCATCACAGGGCCACATAGAGACAAACGAGACAAACAGCCATTCACTCTCTCACTCACACCTAGGGACAATTTAGAGTTACCAATTAGCCTAACATGCATGTTTTTGGACTGTGGGAGGAAACCGGAGTACCCGGAGAAAACCCACGCATGCACGGAGAGAACATGCAAACTCCACCCAGAAAGGCCCCTGGAACGGGGTTTGAACCAGGGACCTGCTCGCTGAGAGGCAGCAGCTCTACCAGTTGTGCCCCCGTGCTGCCTAAAGATAAATTTTTTTTTTTTTTTTTTGAAAAGGTATAATTTTATAAAGATAAAATTATACCTTTCAAAAATCTGCAATGCGAAACCCCTCCCCCCATCAACCTAATGGTGATTTAGTCCAATGATCCCTGACAAGAGGGGAGTGCATCTACATTTTCTGCAGCACAGCAGTTTGCACATTTGACTTTTACATGAAGGAATAGAGTTCAAGACTCAGTGAAACTCTGAAATTTTTCTGTTCTGCAAAATAAATGACCACATTTTCTGCTGTACACATCACACTGCTGTATAAGTAGCATCAGTCCAAATATGCCCAATAAAGTGGAAAAAAACATAAATATGTCACTTCGCCATATAAATTACATCTATTATGCGTCATCGCTGATGCGTCGTATTTGTTATGCGTCACCGCTGACAACCCAGAAATGTGGGTCGGTGTTGTGCCAAAAATCGATTGGCTGTCAAATGGTGGTAGCGGGAGCGTGCACGGGAGGACTTCAACAAGAATTTAACAAGATTAACACTTAAAAACAATTATTTGTTTGCTCGAAATTATAGTAAAGGTGTGTCTCAGTGCAACGTTTCCTTAATAAATACACTGACGGTCAAATCAGCTGCATTTCAAAAGCCGATTTGCGGAAGCGGGTGCATTCTTAGAAATTTCACAAGATAAGCCCCTAAAACAAATATTTGTTTGCTCGACATTATAGCAAAGGTGTGTCTCAGTTGAACTTTTACTTAATAAATGCACTTCAATGGTCAAAAAAGCTGCATTTCGCCGGGTCGGCGCAGCGAAATGAAGCTGATTTGATGGTTGCTCCAGGCATGATCCCAGAGCTAGACGAAGGTGGCTGGCTAAGGCAAGCTGATTGTATCATTAATAGCCACTTTTACCTATTACATGTCACAACGGTATGTCATACTACTCGAGTGTCATCTAGTGGCTGAAAATGGTAGTGTTCAATATTTTCAACGTCAGAATGAATGAAAACGGTCATATCTCAGCCAAAAATTGATTTACAAATATGGGAAAAAATCCATAAATAAGTTGCTTCGGTGTATAAATTGCAGGGCATGCAAATTATACACTGAAGCAACTTATTTATGGATTATTTGCAGGGCATGCAAATTATAAGATCTGAAGCTCTCGACCTTGACCTCTCTAAGTGGCTTTAAACATCTGTTAAGTTCCTGGCAAAAACCAATGCAGACATGTTCCTGTTTTTAGTTTTCAACACCGCCTTGTAATCTAGCTGGGGTTTTTTTTTTGTTGCTACTTTTCCTTTTGACTTTCCTTTTGGTTGCTATTTTGTTTTGATTTGCAAAAAAAAATAAATAATTGTATGCCTATTTTATGATTGTCTATTGTTGTCATCATCCTTTGTTAAAACCAGGTCTCTCTTTGAAATGAGTCCCCAAGGCTCAATGGGATTAACTTGTCTAAATAAAGGTTGAATGAATGAATAAGTTGCAGGGCATGCAAATTATGCAAAAAAAACTATGATTTATAGGCCGGAAAATACATGATTTAGGATTTTAGAAGATAGCAACAATAATATATAAAAAAAATTTAATAAGTTCAATGTGTTGTCATTGTTATATGTTATCATACAATGATGACGTTTGTAGTCTACATTTAACCCATCACACCTGAGATACACCCAGCGAGCCACTATGTAAGTGCCTGGGGAGCAGTTAGGGAATGGGTGTCTTGCTCAAGGACACCACAACATAGGCATGACGGAGAGTTGAACCTGCAACTTCTGGTCCCAAGTCATCTGCCCTACCTCTACACCGTCTCTGCCCCTCAAATTGTTCAACGGGATCTCTAATCAGTAGAACAATAGATTTTGTTTCATCATTTCAGTAGCTCATTGTTTATATTGACAGACTCCACAGTAATTAATTATTTTGTTAGATTTAATAAAGTTATTTATTGGACATGTCTTCTCTTTCCAAACGTGCTGTATTTAGAGCTTTAAAATCTTTTAAACTGCTTAAATCTGTGATAATTATTCAATAAAAACAAAATGTAATTCAAGCCAAATTAAATTATATTCAACATGATTCTAAACAATCTTTTGACTGAGGAAACGGCGCACATATTAGATGTCCAGTGACAGTTTCTCACCTGTGAGTGCATTAAAGCTCTTTAATGACTGTCTGAGTTTTCTAATAAGTTTTTGTTTACACATTTCTTTGGCAACATCAGATCAGCATTATGTCCCACTGTGGTCGTGATTATTTTTCCTTTTCTACTTTATTATTGTGTATGGATGCATGTCAGATGTTTAGCAACCTGTTCTTATAGTTTAAATGGTTTTATATTTTTGTAAAAATAGAAGAAAAATCTTTGTTGTAAGTCACTTGGCTGCATGACCCAGAAGTGAATCAAGTGGTTTAAAGAGACAAATAATTAGCATGTGGCAGGTGGAGAAAGACGTTCTGTGCTCCTTTAAGTTTAGTTTCTGCATTTTCTCGCTGCAAACACAATAATGCATGTTTAATGTTAATTTTGTTTTACAACAGTACATTTGACTGTATTTTAAGGTACCCCCTAAAAAATTGCACAAAGAACTTTGTTTTCTGGCCCTCCCTGCCATAAGATGGGATTTCCACCCTTTCCTGTGCCCAAGTTAAATTTATTTTTTAGTAGCATTGCTGAGCATTTAGCATGCCTGTTCTATGCGTCTACCACAATGTACATTACTGCTTAAAGAATTTCTAAAGAGAACAACAAAAAAACTACAAAAAAGTTAAATATGCTAATATATACTATGGTATATTAACATGTCTATATACTGGGCCTCTTGTGGTTACAGCTAGACCTACTTTTCCCCAGCCCTCCAGCATTTTGTCTAAACAGACCAAGGCTAACCTAAATGTAATTCTGGAGGCGTGTAACGGAGAACATTTGAAAAGAAAGAAGAAAAGGCAGGGGTTCTCACCTCCAAGGTTCATTCCAGCTTGGAGACACTTCCGTACACGACATGCCGGACAGTTTTTTCTCCGGATCTTGTCAATGATACAGTCATTTCTTCCAGCACATAGATAGTTGTGTTGACCTATAGAAAGATGAGACATGTCAGTCCATTTGTGGGGGGCTGCAAGACACAGATGAGCTGTGCTCATTTAAAAACATATGCATACAATACACCTCACATAAAGTGAGATGCTGCAATATTTTATCAGAAACTTTACAATTCTAAGTTAGAACTACCGAAAGTACATTTTCTGCAAAAATGTGTGAATGCCGAGTTCTAAATAACTTTGCTCAAATTTGTTGAAGTTAAAACTGAGTTGGTAAACTTAAAAAAAAAAAAATCAGGAAACAAGTCAAAAACAAAAAGGAGCAAAATACTGTCTAAAAGAAAGAACAAAACGCTAGCTAAAGGCTAGAAGTAGCAAAACCTTAGCTTAAGGTTCTCTAACCTAAGAGATTACCACATGACCCTGTCATGTGACCCCACACAAGATGCAGATTAACACCCAGATGTCAAAAGACTATTTCAGTCCTACATTCTAGATTTGGTGGGGTTCTGCATGGCACTGTTCGCCCTGTTTACATGAGAACAACCTCTGGAAACATTAGTGTTCTTTCAATGTTTATTGGGGGTAATAAACAACAACAGCAACAACAACAACAAAAAAAAAAAAGTGGGTTTACATGAAAACGTTGTAGTTTCCATGTCAGTATGGTTGCCAGATAATAAATTAGGATCTACTGTTGCTTTAAAATTATAGTATTTGAACCTACACGGTCATATTTGCTGAGTAAAGGTATTGTAAGATATGTGTGTTGTGTTTGAACATGTGCACAGAAAATGAGTGGGTAAAAAAAAAAAGTATATGGCAACCCTGAGGGCTCAGATGCATTCATTGCACATGCAGTGTATGATCATGGTTACGTCCAAACTGTGAATATGATAACATCACTTTAGACTCTGGATTTTATTATATTTGCTCATACATGCTATAAAAAGGGTGAGCAGCACAAAAAACTCTCTGCTCTCTGCCGTGTATTGTAATTGTTAATTACAATATTGTATTAACCACAATATTGTAATTATAAGAAAAACTTTTTTGACAGCAGCCGCCTGTAGTTCGCATGTGCAACTTCAAACTTGCAGAGTATTTGACACCTCTACGGAGGGTTACCCTGAAAAACTCCACTCTTGAGACCAGGACTCAAAACCGTTCGGTTTCAGAGCGAACGGGGGACAAAAAGTTACGGTTTCACTTAAAAAGCGTGTCCAGAGGACCTGACTCAACCTTGTTAGATTTATCTACCTGAAGTGTTGAGCATGCATCAGGACATAGATTAGGAAGCTTTAATGCCATTTTATTGACCGGGAACGCTAGACAGTGTTGCTATGGACTCATTTTTATGCAAATCTCAAACCTGGCAAAAATCTATATTTTCACTTTTTTTGCAATGATTGCAGCCTGTACTTATCCAGATTCACTTTGCTACCAAAGGTCACACATGCTGCAAAAGGCTAGCTAAAAATAATATTAGGTTAGCAAAAAGCTAGCTAAAAGTAGTAAAAGACTTAACTCGAAGCTAAAGGTAGCATTACACAACAGACTCATGTTCAGGCTGCTGTTTAATACACAGTATTATATTACATTATTACTGTTTCGTGCATATCTTAGATCTTTGTATACGGTTTCTTTTTATATGTTATAGTTTTGCTATTTTTGGGTGTAACTGGGACCTTGAGTACACAATTTCCTTTCACCTCATGTACGATGTGATGTGAATGACCATAAAGGACCTTGAACCTTGAACCATTACACTAAGTCTATAAATCAAAAGCCAGATGTAGAAAAAAATGCTAGCTAAAATCTAAAAGTTGCTAAAGAAGACAAGATTAGAGCATAACACTCAAGCAGCGAAAGAGAATTTTGCATTAATGTATTTCTACGAAGAACATATTTGTAAATAAAGTTGTGTACTTTGAAAATTATAAAGTTGCAAAAATCAGTCTCCTAAATGAGGTGAACATTTTGATTTATGGAAGGCTAACTTACAAAGTGTGCAAAGATAGATTGCACAAATTATATGGAAAGCAGGAAAAGTATAACGTAAATGCTGAGTCAGCATTAACACCATTGTTTTCTGTCATTGCCTACAATGCTTTATCACTGGTGACTCATGCAGTGGATAGGATGAGGAAGGTGGTGGAACCAGGGCACTGGCTGCAGCTCGACTATTTCTGACAGTGATGCTAACATGGTGAGAATCCCTCCTGCCTCCTGCCTAGCCCTCAGTGAAACCCAATGATCTCCTATTTCAGAGCGCTTCCTTCCGCTCCACTAACTCTTCACTGTACAGCTCCCCTTCTCCTCCTCCTCCACTGCCACTCGTTTTCCTCTCTATGGCTCAATCCCTCTTTTCCCACATGTCCGCCAGCCTCTGAGCACCGTACGCCCCCACACAGACAGTTCTGCACACATGCAGCCATTCACTCTCCCACTCATGTATACACACATGAATGAGTACATATATGTGTAAACACACACCAAAAAAACAACCAACCTCGAAATGTTACTTTAAAACAATAGAAAGACTGTGTGACCCTAGTGATGCTCCAGCCTTTCCTATGGTAGGACTTGTTCTATTAGGTGTGAGGTAAAAACATGCTTCGTGCATGTTCACATGTTTGTTTCTTAACTCAGTGAAGGATGTCTGGCACTGACTGCATGCATGAGAGCTTGTTTGTTTACATGCAATCCACTTCCCAACAAGAGCATTCTGTGCATTCCTCTTCATTTCAATCTCCAGAATTAGTATTTGTGTTGCAGGACTGAGCAGAAGTTGTTTTCAGAGCTAGCGGTGTGTACTGCGCAGTGTGTCTGTCTGGCTGCTGCCAAAAGCCAAGGAACCAAGCTGCAGGAGGAGAGGCAGCAGCTGTAGCCCCACCACTATTTCTGGCTAAATCACATGACCATTACATAAGCCCATTTTTCTTGCTCTAAAAAACAGTAAACTGCAACACAGGAAACACTACACAGCCACCCCTTGCACACATACACACTTGTGCTTGGATAGGCCAGACAAAACAGCCATTCTGAAAAGTTTTGATGCTTTCCTGTCAAATCGATTCACTCACTTCCATGAATCGTGTCAATAATTGTCAGAGTGAAATACACTTTATGAAGCAGCCAAAAGTCGTACTGCATATCGTGGACATGGACGCAGCAGTGGGTGTATTTGAAAGAGAGAGAATTTGTTTATTTATGCGCCGTGTCTTCTTTCACTCACACAGCATGCTCACCTCTGAATACATGCATTCACTTATCAATACTGAGAGAGGCAGCCTTACAGCTGAATGTTAACATTTTCAGTCTTCAGTTGGAAAACAGATCCAAAATAATTTATTTCATGTCTTTTAAATAAGTGATTTTATGAAATGAATATATAATTATTTTTCATCAGCACATTCCTTAAAAAAATATCTGGATTTGATTGTAAAAACAAAATGTGTGCAAATATAAAGCATATAAATGAAACTTTAGTCAATGAAGGAATGTTTATTGCCCATAGACTCCCATTTCCATCCATCCATCCATTCATCATCTTTACCCGCTTATTCATTTTTGGGTCATGGGGGTCACTGGTGCCCATGTCCATCTATCACTGTGCAAGAGGTGGGGACACCCTGGACGGGTTGCAAGTAGAGTCGTCATTTCTAACACGGGCCCAAAGCCCGGCTCAAATTCGGGTCAGGCTGGACCATACAAATGTGCTAGGTGGGCGGGTCGGGTCGGTGTCGGACTTTTGATTGCGTCAGCAGGTGGGCACGGCTGATGATCCAATTATATGGCAATGTGGCTTGCCATACTCCCAATTATATGGCAACATGGCTTGCCATACTTTCATCAGCCGCACGCAGCCATTTGACCGTGTGCTGACCGACCTTGAAAGAGGTAAAATAAAGTTCAGGGTTTTTTAATATCTGGAGGACCAGATTTAACTTTTTTTTTAAGAAAGTTCAGTTAAGCTTCAGATGAGACTATCGGTACTGCCAGGAAGCGATCCATCGCCCAAATGGACATTCAGCCACTGCACTCAGTGAACGCGTACGGCCGACAACCCAAACAGGTGAGATCGCAAAGCAGACATGTCAGAGCAGGGTCCGTGTCTGAATAATGCAGAATGCAGGCAGAAACAGGGATTTAATGTGCTTTGACAGCCATGAAAGGACAAACACCCCCTCAACCAATCTTCTGCCCTTTTCATTCAGCCGCACACGTCCACTGACCATTAATAACTATAAGCAGTCAAAGCTAAATTAAAAATGTGTGTGTGTGTGTGTGTGGGGGGGGGGGGGGGGGTTCGGGTTCTGACCTGTAATTACTATTAATTCATTGGGTCAGGTGGGGTTCAAAAATGATGGCTACTGGCTGGGGCCGGGTCGGATTTTTTGCAACTCTTGTTGCAAGTCCATCACAGGCCTTCCATTTCCAAGTTTTAAATAAAGATTTTTTTTTTATTAGTGCCCAAAGTATATATGATGGAAATGGCTCTCAGCTACTACCACACCAAAATGTAAGTCAATATTTGCTAAACTGACTGAGCTATAGCCAGTTGTGTTTGCTAGCTTGATTAGCTGTGAGGGCGACATGGTGACAGTTTATAGAGCTGCCGCCTCTCAGCAAGAAGGATCAAATGCTGGATGGATGGAGTTTGCATGTTCTCTCCGTGCATGGTTTTCTCCGAGTACTCAGGTTTACTCCCACAGACCAAAAACATGCACGTTAGGCTGATTGGTAACTCTAAATTGTCCATAGGTGTGAGTGAGTGAATGGTTGTTTGTCTCTATGTGTCCCTGTGATGGACCGAAGACCTGTCCAGGGTGTCCCCCGGCTCTCGCACAGTGACTGCTAGATATGGGCACCAGTGACCTGAAAAGGAAGAAGCGTGTAAAGATGATTGTTGGATGGATGGGGCAGGTATCTTAAATAAGGTTGACTTCATAAATTAATTGTAGATACGCCTCTAATTAATAATTTTTGAGATAAATTACAAATAAACACAATTAACTCTAGTAGAAAATGC